TTCTGCAAATTGGAAGTCTGATTTTTTAACTGTCCTTAATTCTCTCATAATGCATGATGCCTATGACCTTGATACCATTTAGTATGTTTGCAATACACTGAGACTATGATATGATATAGTGAGAGAAAATCATTGTTTCAGTGTGAGGGAAATGTGAGTAAAGTCTGTTTAAAATAGGATTCATATTTGTAAGCTCTCTTTGCAAGAGAATGGAATATTTGTAGCATCTACAAGCGTTGCTATTTTGTAGTTTTTTGTGTGCATTAAAACACACCTATATGTTTGTGTGTAAGGGAATGCTTAATGTTAATGACTAACCTTATTAAGCTTCCACAATGCATAAGTAAGATCTGTATGATACAAAAAAAATATTTTTCTAATTGTAAGATGGATGTTTAGATGAGTAACTTTTCACCGATAGAATCATAACATTCTTTTTGCTATATTCTTCTATGTATAATCAGATTAGGTGGTTTTGAATGGGTGACATGAAACTACGTGAGCTTTGCAAGACAACATTTCTATATGAAGGACCTGAGCTTTCAATCAGTCCACATTTCAAAACTTTTGTCATGGAACAGGGCTTCATCATGGAGTAAAATGAGAAGCAGATTTTAGGGTGACTAAGTTAAAAACAATATCCAATTGCTTACAGTAATTGTTCAGTTTTGAGATACAGTCTCCTAATATATCTTTTACATTTCTTTCACTCATAATAATGCTAGGATACAGTTATGCTCACAAGAGGGATTTTGCTAAGTGTTTTAGTATTCATGCGTTTCCTTTGCTTCAGCTACAGCCTGTGAACATCATACAGTATCTTTCTGCGTTTTGAAGCTCAGCATTCTCTGTTACTCACAAGAATACACTTCCGGCTCCTTCTCCCCTAACCCTTGACTGGCATTGACTTTCATTTGTGGCTTTTTTGTGCTGTGTTCACAACTGCTCCTGACGTACTATACATTATTACTTCACTAACCCCTGATAAAGTCTAATCTTAACTTCCTTTTTCCCCCCTTTTATATAGGTTACCATAAGTAAGTTCTTGCACATCACTCTGATCCCATCTTGCCTGTGTTATGGAGCCTTGTGAAAAGCGTTCCAGGTTTACAGACTGTAGCCAGTGGTCCTTAACAGCACCCAGTCAACTGGGGCCTTGTGTGGCTTGGTCCCCTGAAAGCTTCGAGGCTGGCAACCACTTGGAGAAAACCTCAGACACGTTACACTGAAATGGAAAAGGGAATTTTCCACAAAACAGTCCCTGGTGGTTTCTGTTTGGATGCTGACAACCCTGTTCACTTAGAGTGTTTTGTCCCCACTATGTACTGTAACAGTTCAC